AGTGAAATGATTGCCTTAGTATCACATTAAAGTGGGCAAAAGAACTCTTAGTTTTCAAGTTACCACTCAGGTGACCAGAGTCCTACACGTGCAGTTATTATTCGTGGATTCTGTTTGCAAATTTGCTACTAAAATGTATTTCTAATCTCGAAATCAATACTTGCGGCCTGTCTGCAGTCATTTATGGGCATGTGCAGAGTGGGAAAAATCCGAGCACGTTCCCATGTGGTGCTGAACAAAGCAACACTGCCAGCCTGTTTCCGCGCTCACACTGTCAGTCGGCGTGGTTTTAGTCTAGTTAGTGCCACGTTCTCTGCTTTGTTGTTGATTTCACTGTTGAAAATGGTCCCTAGCATACTGCCGAAGGGCTGTCCAGTGTTCCTAAGCACAAAAAGGCTGCGAAGGGCCTTAATGACAAAACATGGTACTTTGTGGAGGCTTGAATTATAGTGCTTTTAGCCTTGAGTTCAAAACTAATGAAACAATATACACTAAACAAGGTGTCTTTAAACATGGAGCACACATTAAACAAGGTGCAGTGTTGACGTGTTGACTGGTTGATGAAAATATTGTGGTGGAGGCCTGCAGGAACCTAACGTGTATCTCCCCAGGAGCAATGGTTCAGCATTTGCTTATTCAGTATTTGCAGTGACTTTATGGAACATTAGTATTGCCAGTTGACAAAACCAACTGCATTTCCAGAGTTCTGAAGGAGATGAAGTGTGGAGACCAAAAAAAGACCCCTCTTTTCCTCACAGCAGTGAAAATGCAGAGTTCACCACTTCCTATCTTAAGAAGGATGTTACACATTTTTTTCTTAGTTAAGGTAAAAGCTCATATATTTCAATCTCTTTCCAAGAATCCCAGTGCTTTTCAGAAATGTCAATATCCTTACAAAGACAACTCCAAACGTTTCATTCGTCTTCCTGTTAGGATCTCGGATTCTTGACTCTTCTGATATGCCTTCTGTCATTTTCTTACTGGCCGGGGTTTATTTTTCCAGAAAAGAGGCTAGTCACTCTTTTCTATAAAAATGATAGAATGAGAAGAGGTTTCTTTCCACTAATGATACTGAAATGACAATCTATGCCTTCTGCAGTTTTCTAAAGTGATTAAAAGGAAACAGTGCAGCACACTGGCATTTAATGTGAGACAGGATGAAGTCCCACGCAAAAGCAGTTCACTTCCTTATACCTACTGCATTATTTTTAGAACTTAATCAGGAGCTAAAGAAATACCAGCAGGTCTGCAGGGTGGCTTCCCTGGATTTTTTACAGAACCTCTTGAGAGCTGAGGAGGAGGTGGACTTAGTGCTATTCTTTTTTCTCATTGAAAGTGTCACTTCAATAAATGGAGAACTTGGTCTAGCAAGTCATTGACCATTTGTTCTTCTCTCAGTTTTTCCTTCTTTCCTGAGTCGTCATCTCAACTTCTTAAATACACAATTCTACTTTTTACACTGGCACAGTACCTCGCACTAGGTAGTCAAATATCTAGTAAAATAAACATATCAGTCTGTAATCATCATTAAATTATGCTTCTCCTATTACTATGGATTTTAACAAATGAGACTGACTCCTTCCTGTTCTTTCTGAAGGAAACGCATGACAAGCATTTAACCCTTGCTACCTTGTTTAATTCTCACAATAATTTTGAGGTAGTTAAAATCCCCATATTAAGGATGAGAAAACAAGATTCAGGGGTTACAGTAACCAGTACAAGGTCAAACTGTTAGTTGCAAACCTTAGTCTACCTGGCTGCCAAGCCTGAGCCGTCCCACTGCTCTATTCCTGCTCATTCTTCTGGAGGTTACAGAACATTGTTGAATAGGAAGGAGGTTTCTCCATCCCTTCATGAACCCTAGGAGTTCTGTAAGAAAGCCCATATGACACTGAGCCAAGTGATCCATTCCATACACTGTCATCAAAAGTATTCTGAGTCTTCTAAAAATTAAGAACCCTATCTACACGCACGCAGCGAATGCACTGCCGTGGAGTCGGATCCGACTCATAGCGACCCCTGCTTGGGTTTCCGAGGCAGTATCACTACGGAAGTAGATTGCCCAACCTTCCTTCTGAGGAGTGGCTGGTGGGTTTCAACCGCCAGCATTCTGGTTAGCAAGCAAGTGCCTTAGGCACTACACCACGGGAGAAACTGATCTAAGTTACCAATAATTAGATAAGGAGCTGTGGTAGCAGGGTGCAGCCTTTTTACTTAAATATCCATTATTTCTCAATTGTAGGCAATCTAAACTACTTTAACCCCTAGACCTGTATAAAATATACAGCCTTAGAGAACTTTAAATCCAGATTATGTACAAAGATCCTCCCATTCACACATGATGAAGACAGAAAGGTTAAATAATTTGTTAGCAAATTTCATCTAGTTATTAGGTGCTGGATTATTAGGTTCTGGTTTTGGCCCTCAAACAAACTCAAAACTGCCATTGAGTCATTTCCTACTCATAGCAACCCCCACTGGGTTTCCGAGGCTGCAAATCTTTAGGGACACATATTGCCCTGTCTTCCTTCCGCCCAGCGGATGGTGGATTTGAACTGCTGACCTTCCTGTTAGCAGTCAAGTGCTTTATCCACTACGCCACCAGAGCTCCTGGTTTTGGCCCTAGCCCATATTTAAATATAAAGAATTATCACAGTTTACAAATAAGATTATGATCCATTCACACACACCTGACTTGTGTCAATCTATCTGGCTCAAATGCACAAGTACAACTCAACAGAGTGTTTAAGATCTTGAAGTAGCCATATCCCATTTATACTAGGGCCTAAAAAGGCCATTTCTCTCTGATTTCCATGGAACTTTCAGTTTGGAACCAGCCTAGTTCATAACGCTACCTGAACATTAGCTCAGCAATTGGCTTCTGCTCAAGCAAGGCATTTCCAGGGTTTGGCTGTTAAAAGTATAAAATCAATTGTCCAAAAATAGTTGATAAGCTCAACTATTTTTCACACCAACATTTTTAAAATCTTTGTACACTGTGTAAGATTCCAAGCATGGTACTTACCTATTGTGTTAGCAAACTGCAACCTATGATTTGCAGAACTTGGGCAATTCAAAAGAGCAAAGACCAAAAAGGAACATGGACAAGGTGTAATACCCCAACTGCTTGAATGATACCCGTGGCAACTCGGGCCCTTCCTCAGCACCACGATGCTGAAGCAGAGAGTTGTTCTGTTGAGGGAAGGGAACTCTTCGTACTTCCGTTAAGGAGTTTACTCAGCTTGACCTATGCAATGGCCCATGGTGCCAAAAGACTGACTAAATTTTTACCAAATTAGCAGGTGGCTGGGGAAAATTCCAGAAATGAGATTTCTAAAAAGACAGGAAGAAACACGGTGATCTAGCAGATATGCAAAGAATTCCCAAAGATACACCATGTTCATCGGTCAACCTTTATGAATATTAACATGTCCTGTCCTGCTATTTTTCTTATTACTAGGTCAAAAATACAGTCAATGAGAAATCTTGAAATGTTAAGAGAAAGAAGTGCCTACATTTTTTTTGGTCCTCATAACAAATGGCACATACGTTCTTGGATGATAAACACCACTGCGTGTGAATTATGTGACTACTGACTCTACAGACAACCACAGCCCTTGTGAAAGGCATTTATCAATGGATGGAAGTCAGACATTTGAAGTTTAAAACACAGCTGCTTCCATTTTAGCTCAGTACCTTCTCCACCTTACTATGAAAGAATGGATGCATATGACAGTTTCATCTAAAATTTGTAAAAATATAAATAATACATCAGTTCAGAAGGTTAGAGCTGCAAAGGGCCCTAGTAAGCACCTGGTCACGCTCCTTCCCAACTTTGTAACTGAGGCAACTAAATCCCTCAATGGCAGATTTTGAAAACTTGCCTCAGGTGTCTCACTGTATCGGCGACCGGAGAATGCAGGCCTTGGCACCTTGGCAGACTTGAAATTTGGGGGCCGACTCTTGAAAGGACTACATGTTATTTTTTATGCAAATAACGTGCATTATACATGTTTGCCAAATATGCACCCTCTTCACACATTATTTTCCTAGGCATTCTGTGCACTTTATATGTGTGGGGGTATTATTTGGGGTGAGGAGGATTACTTATTTTAGCCAGAAAAAGCCTGTGTGTTTACTATGCCAACCTAATCTTTAAAATTTGTGTATTAAAAAGGCAGTATGTTAACCTTTGATTTAAAATGTCATACCAACAAACTTGTGACATATTGCAATCATTTTATTCATATAAAGCATTGGGATAAACCCTTTAACAGGAGTACTGATTCACTATCATGAATGCACATTGATACTTCACTACAGTATCATACTTGCCTGAGTCAATTATGTGTGGATTCATTTCCACATATATAAACACATTTATATTCACTGACCGACACAACAGCACACAGCCATGCACCTCTTCATTCTGGTTCAAATGCATGTAAAGGCTTCCTGTATACTTGGATTTTTCACCACTTAAGGACTTCATAGTATGAGCACGTTTCCAGTATACTATTTCTGTCCTGTCATTATTTTTTAAATTAAAAAAAAAAAAAAAAAGTAATACTGTAGTATAAAAGACCTTTCTACAAGGTCCCTCCTGGAGAAATGTTTGCGAATACAATTATAGTCCTATAATGACTGTAATCAAGATCATCCTACAAGGACAGCTCGTAGACTCACTCTCCTGGAGAGTTTTTGATCTTATTCAGGATATTATAATGATGGGGGGGGGGGCAGGTAGGTTATAAAGACATTCCAGCAGAAGAGTGTCCTAGAGATTTTTCTGAACATACTTCAGTCCTGTGACAACTTCAGTGAAGATGACAGCGTTGAGCCATTCTGCTGAAGACTGTGTCTAGAAAAACACATGATCATGTGCTGTTACAATTTCTGTGTTCTGTCTGTGAAAATACAAAGAGGTCAGGAAAGCAGAAAAATGCAGCACTATAACAAAGAAGGAGGAAACACTCGAAGAATAAACACTTAAACACATAAAAATTTTAAATGGCATCTAATAAATTTTCACGTCAACTCTTTTAACTAAACATATAAAAATTTAAATGGCAATAACTAAATCTTCATGTCAAATCTTTTAACAAAACCCACAATAGATTATAAAAATTGAATAATAGTAAATGTCTCATGTAGAAAGTTTTAAGGAAAAGTTTAAATTTCCACATTATTCGGTTTAATCAAATACTTGAAGAACTGTAGTTACTGCTGAGAGCAACAGATACATCTCTAAAATAATTCAGTTTCGAAAATACTATCACAACTGTGGTTTGGCGTCCTGGGTTCCGGTCAGATTCAGTCATCCACAAATGTTAACCGCCCAGGCCCTTCGTTCTTCATCCATCTCCTGTATCTCTTCCATCTAGGGTCACTGGCCAATTTTTTCTTTAGTTCTTCCTCTTGTTCTTGTTTGTAGACCTGTAAGTATAGTGAACACCGACTTTACAACCCAAAGAGAAACACCTTCCTTAGCTTTATGGCATATTTACATTTTTAAAATGTAATTTTAGATAAAAGTATCCAGTGATTATATTGATTTGTCTTCTAAAGGTCATTCATATAAAAATACTAAACATGCATTTTGACATTCAGGGTTAAGGTTAATTCAGGGTTAATAAAGACCAATTTGTACAATGACTGGTCATTTTTTACTGATTTCTGTATCTTAGGAATACATTCCTTTCCTCATTGAAATCATATATAAACTGAGTTTAAAGAGTATAAACACTTCCTTTCTACAACTAATCTATTATTAAAGAATCAACACTTTATTTTTTTAACATGTTACACTATAAATTTAACTGATGACTTTGGGTATTTGTTGATCCCAACCAAGAAACAAATCTACCTTACATACATGTTTGTCTCCAAATTGAACTTATGTCTACTTTCATCTTCAAAGATAATTATTAGTTTTTCAAAATATTTTTTTATTATAATTCCTAAAAAAGGTTAAAAAAAAATCACACAGGTTAAGAACAAATACAGTCTCATTTCTGTAACTTTCAGTGGATGTCAATGGAAGCAAAACAGAAAGTTTTTGTAGTCAGTTTCACAGCCACATCAAATTTAGAAAGAAATTCTTTCATTTCCAAGTATGAGGAAGCAGAGACTAGGCTTCTATCAGTATCCTATGAAAGACAGAGTTCTGTGGATAAGGCTGCTTAACCTGCTTCAAACTTTTCAACTAGTTTAGGAGCTAAATTGTTTTCACTTCTCATTTTTATGTTACTTTTAATTAGACTGAACATGTCCACTTGTCAAAACATTCCGGCTGTTCACAGTAAGTTAATTTCCTTAAACATAATGCAGACTAAAATTTTATTTTCTGTAAAACCCACTTAAAGACATCACATACAAAAAGGAATGGCTACAAAACAAAAAAACTACTACAGCTCAGAGGTGTTAAGACGGTTTCAGTGTGCTCTATTCTTATATTTAAAGAGCTCTGGTGGCATAGTGCCTAAGGCATCTGACTGCTAACCAGCAGGTCAACAGTTCAAACCCACCAGCCACTCCACGGAAGGAAGACAGGGCAATCTACTTCCATATTTACTGCCTCAGAAACACAACTGGGGTCGCTATGAGTTGGAATTGACTTGACAGCAGTGTTTTATTATTACTGCATCTACTATACTAACAAATTTTGCCCAGAATCTAACAGTATCATTATGATGAGACTGCTAGAAGACCTTTTAGCACTTTGGCTAGGTAGGTGATCACCTCTAAGTAATTTTTATATTGACATTTGTAGAATACAGCTTTTATTATAATGCCAAGATTCTGAGGCACTAGAGTAGGTAAATTAAAGTAAAATAACTTTCCAAACGTATGTTAGTTATTAAGCAGAAGATTGTGCACATTTATTTAGAAATGAGTAATTCTTGCAACAAAATTTCTCTCGTTTTGGTTTTCTGTTTGGCTTTTAAAAGTCTCTGGGTATCACAGCCAGCTACCGAGAGGGAGTAAGCAGTTAGACCTATGGGCTCTGGACCATAGTTGCAGGGGACATCAAGTTCAATTGGCACAGCATACTACACAAAACACTGTTCCACCTCCTACTTGGCGAGTAGCGACTGGGATCTTAAAAGCTTGCAAGCAGCCATCTAGATGCAACGATGGGTCCCTCCTCATCCAGAGCAAAAGAGAATGAAGAAACCAAAAATTCATGGAAACAATTAGTCCAAGCAACTGGTACACCATGTGATCCTCAGCCTATATGACTATGAGACCAGAAGAACTAGATGGTGCTCGGCTACCAGTGTCAACCACTCGGAGGGGGATCTATGTAGGAGATCCTGGATAGAGTGGGAGAACAAGGTGGAACAAAACTCAAAATCATTTGGGGGAAAAAAAAAAAAAGGGACCAGGTTTGCTTGTCTGATAGAGCCTGATGGAATGCCTGAGACTATGGCCCCTAGCTGCCCTTTAGGTCTGGAATTGAACCCATTCCTGAGGCTTCCAGCCAAACAGAAAACAGGCATATGAGGTGAACATTTACATTAGGTAGATACACTCCTTGGAGAGAGCAATCATGGGAGAATAGAAGGGCTGTGTGGGAGACAGCTTTGGGGGCAGGAGTACATGGAGGGGAGGACGCAGGGAAGAGGTAACTATGGGGAGGAAGTGGGAGGGGAGCTATTGCACTGTGGGAAATTGCAGTCAACGTCATGAGGAAAAAAAAGTCTCTGGCTAGGTCATTCACTGGGAGAAAATGTGAGGAGGACCAAATTTTAGTGCGATCAACAGAGCTGTCCTAACCCTTGCAGACATACATATCCTTATCCCAGTGCAGTTTAACACATCAAAGTAGCCTATCCTTAACTTTCTTCAGAATTAGTCCAAGTATTTGAAATTCATCTTTTACAAAGTTTACTAGTTAATCTACTGCCCCACTTCCAAATATAGTCATACTTTCTTTCAATAAAAGGTCTTTATTCAGGATTTAACTCTTGGATTTAAGAAATCTGAACACCTTTTTTGATCCCTGCCACATACCTAATTGCAACTTGGGAAGGAGTATTGACACTAAAATCCCAGCAAAGGGCTCACTCACCTCATAATTCTCCTTTATCCAGAGCTCACGTTTAAGAAAAGTTTCTTTCTGATGATCCTCTAGACTGTCAAACTGAGACTTTGACATCTTCATAGACTTACGTATGATATACAATCTCTCTTCCTCTCCATATTCTTTGCCTTTGATGTTGAAATTATAGATCCACCGGCAATACCAGAGTACATATGAGCACAGGTGAAAAGGAGCCAAGATAATTTGAAACAGGAGAAGATCACGGATCTGGGGTTTCTGATAGCCTCCCTTTATGTCTATCTTACTCTTTATAATGTTCTTTATGATATTCTCCTCCTCGTCACGGATTTCTTCTTTGGACTTTTTGCTTCTGCCTTTTTCTTTGGCTTTTTTAAGCAATCCCTGCTGCTTGGCAATTTCTGTAGCTTGGATACGGTACTTGGGCACTGTGGCTAGGTAGCTGATTGCCTTGTTATAGCTATTCCACCAGCTGAAAAACTAGAATATTTAACAAGGAACAATGGGTCATTTATTACCAAAATTCACCCACACTAAAGCAATAGTAGAGTATCTTGGTGAACTCTATTACCCAAGAAATCCATTCTGATTAACTAAAAATAAGGCTCTCAAAGATGTAACTTGTAAAAGACACAACTGAGTGGAAGCAATCCAAATGTCTAATGCCCAGCAGATAAACAAATGTGGCAGGTCCACAGAATAAAGAGGCATCAACAGTGAACATGCTCCATCCTCATGACCAGGTCAAGGGGACTTGGTAGGCTATATTAAAAAGTTCTGATTTTTCCCAAATTTAATGGTAGGTGAATCATTGGTAACTTCTACAAAGGCAAATGATATGACACAGTTGACATTCCCTCTGGCTGTTACATGGAAAATACTCTAGAAAGGGGCAAGAAGAAAAGATCAGGGGCTTTTAATTTTGTTTTTTAGCCATATAATGACACCATCAATCTCCCAGATTCCCACCAATAATCTTAACTGGAACTATATTTCTACAAATGGTACTTCTAGTTCAGTTGTCATGACTGGTGTGTACTAAGCCAGCACACTTGTGCATGCACATATACACAGATACACATATCCAATACACACCTGAAACACTGAAATAGCACAAACACTGACCAAAATCACAACTCTCACATCCACTTTTGGGGCTAACCGCCTGCGATAGTAGTGGTAGTAATGGCTGTAGTACTCTTCTGGATGATCCAGCAGGTAGTCATAATCTTTCCGTGTGTCTTCATCCTGTAAAATAACACAGGACCCAATTGCACAGGATGGTTCATGAAATGGCCTTAATTTAGAATCTGTTAAGTTGAATCTAGAATTTCAGTTATGTAAGATTAAACTGAGTAACTGTTAAGATAAATAATAATAATAATAAAACCCTCACTCTTCAAAGACACACATACATATACTTGTTTTTACAACTTCAATATTAGGTAGAAAGCATAATAAAAACATTTTCCCAAAATTTTTAAGTATTGTTCGTTCTCCTTGAAAAAACACTTTAGTACCAAGACCCATGATATGTAAGCCAGTTTGTGATGCTAAGGATGCCAGTGCTCCTGTAACTTAGGAGCATGTTGACATCTAGTCTCAATAACTGTTGACATAAAATGTTGCCCTCTTGTGTCTATTCACAGTCACCTTCTAGTCTCATAAAGAAAGGTTTCTTTCTGTTGAAGGCCACGATTAAGACAGCCAAAAGTAGACGAAGCCACTGTGTGCCTGCAAAACGGAATTCAACTCATCTCAAACACTGAGGGATCAACGCAGTAGAATGAAAAAAGAGCATTAGTCGAAGTCTAAACATTTGGATTTAGCAAAATGTTTAGCTTCTCTAAGCCTTACCCTCGTTTATTTGTGAAACAGAGATAATACTCGCACTAATTTTAATAATCAAATATTATACATTACCCAAAAACATAATACAAATATGGAGGACTTTACTATTTATAACAGCGCAGTTCATAAATGAGGTAAGATATATTTCTTTTCCATAGAAACATGTTAAAAGAAATACAGCATTTTGAGAAGCTGCTCTGAATGTTTACAAATGAAACATTTCTTAAAACCTTCCCTAACTCTAAACTCAAAATCATTTGGAGGCAAAAAAAAAGAAAAAGAAGGTGGGGACCAGGTTTGCTGGTCCAATGGAGCCTGGTGTAACCACTGAGACTATGGCCCCTAGCTGCCCTTCAGGTCTGGAATTGAACCCACAACTGTGGTTTCCAGCCAAACAAAGTACAGGCAAGTGAATTAAACATTTACCTCAAGTAGACACACGCCCTGGAGAGAACAATCATGGGAGAAGGAAGGGCTGCTTATGCACAGGGAGATAGCTCAGGGTGCAGAAGAGTATGAAGGGATGGACACTGGGAGGAGGTAACTATGGGGAGGAAGGGGGAGGGGAGCTGCTGCATTGTAAATTTTGGTCAATGACATGAGACAAAGTATATGTGAACTGCTGTATGAAAAGTGAATTTACTCTGTAAATCTTCACCCAAATCCTAATAAAAAAAAACCTTCCCTAACTCTAAAAAGCTGCTAACAGGGCAAGTGTCAGTCTTTTATTACAGCACACAGGTTAGAGAGCTATTAAGCTAGGTTGTGGTTTGCTTTTTATCCTACAGGGAACTTACACTTCAACTTGTCCTGTTTCAAAAAAATGTTAAAGATAAAGACTAAAACAAAATTTTTTACTATGAGTGAGCACAATAGAAACTATGGCAACAACAAAACTTTTAACTTACAGCACTTCCTTCTAGGATGAATTATTCACCATTCATAAAGTTACAGACTAGCATTTTAAAATCTAGATCTAGTATCTGGCCTTGGTACTGCAGAGAGAGGCTGAGGGCTCTCTGCAGGGCCTCCTTCTGAGTCCTTCAATGTGTTGTTGTTGTTGTTATTTGCCGTCGAGTCGGCCCCGACTCATAGCGACCCCTCCTTGGGTTTCCGAGGCAGCATCGCTACGGAAGTAGGATTGCCCAACCTTCCTTCCAAGGAGTGGCTGGTGGGTTTGAACCGCCAGCCTTCTGGTGAGCAGTCAAGTGCCTTAGGCACTACGCTACCAGAGCTCCTATGTGTAGTTTCTTCCATTTAAAATAAGAAGTTTGCTAAAGACAAATTATCCTGTGTGTTCATTAAAATCATGACAATTTTCTATTAAGAATTTTTACTTTGACATTTTCAGTGATAAATTCGTTCATTCATTATATGCAAAATATTTTTTTACCTGACTTATATCTGATACTAGGAGCTCTGGTGGCATAGTGTCTAGGGCATTTGACTGCTAACCAGAAGGCCGGAGGTTCAAACCCACCAGCCACTCCCCCGAAGGAAGGTTAGGCAATCTACTTCCCTAGAGATACAGCCGCGGAAACCTAAGGAGGGGTCACTATGAGTAGTTGGGTCCGACTCGACAGCAGTGAGAGTATCTGATAGCAGGTAACCCAGTATCTAGTTTAATTAGATATGAACATATTAAAATCTGTTCCAGGGCATTATATGTTGGCTCTATTTTACATGAAAATTGCTTGTTACATAAGGAGAGCTGAGCTCAGCCTGAAATTCCTCCCAGGTATACTCCTTTCATGTTCTCTTCTGTCAGAAAGGATTTTCTTATGGCAATTATCACAAGGCTCACTGTCAACTCTATTAGTCCTTCCAGAGCTTGTAACCTACAAAGGGTTAAACTTTACAGAGGTCACACAGAAGGAGGTCCTTAAGTCTAAAATTTATGTCTCTTGATGCATGTCATTTTGAGTACTTCTAAGTATCTTTTCAGAATTTTTCCATTCCCCTCCGCAGTCACGTTTTGCTTTCTGGGCTAACTGTATAAAAACACCCTGCTTTTGACCTGAGACCCATGACCTAATTCGCCAATTCTGGCAGATGCCTTTTGAAATGTTTTCCTTCAAACATAAATCCTCTCCTTGTGCCAACGACACTGCAGGCCGTTCTGAAACAGAAGCTGCTCCAGCCTCCGTGTCCTCCTCTTGGTTGAGGGACACAGCCAGATCCTTGAGTGTCAATGAAACCTGGAGGTGGATGTCCCATTTCATTGGTCAGCCTCTCTGCTGTGTTCTTAGTGAAAGTCACATTCCACAGAATGCAAATAACCCTCTTCAGGCATTTCACTCAAATCTTCCCTCAGGGTCACCATCTGCTCACTGGTCCCTAGATCTGTGACTTCACCAAGTCCCAAGCACCTCTAACAGGATGGTCAAGTAATGTTCCAGCACCAGCAAATCTAAAATCCGCACCTCGTGTCCGGCCTCTCGACTGCAAGCAGAACCTCTAGGGTCTATTTACAGGTTTAAAATAAGAAGTTTGCTGAAGACAAATTCTCCTGTGTATCCACTAAAATCATGACATGTTTTCTGTAAGCATTTTTACTTTAACTGTCATTATTCTCAGTGAGCAGAACCTCTAGGATCTTATGAGTCCTCAAACTGTCCAACCCTACAGACAGCTCCAGGGCCAAGTCTGACTTCTCTCAGGATGTCTCCTTAGTATGTCTTGGCGTCAACCATAAATTTTATGACCCTGTTTTGGTCATGGTCAGAGGCTGAAGGCTGGCTACTTTCTTGTTACAGGAGCAATTATTCACCCAGAGTCTTCACTCTAGGGTTTATGGCTTTCTATCCAGAATGAAGAAAATGATCTTTAGGCTGAGGTAAGCATGATACACTTTACAAAGTGGTCAAGGTTGGCACAAGTTGGTCAGTTAGGAGTTCTCAACAGCTTAAGTCACAATCCTACTCTTTGGTAACCCCTAACGCTTAGAATCAACCTAGTAAGGACACAAAGATACCAGAAATACCAGTACGGAAGAAAAGACAGGATTACAAATACCATCTTTCTTTCTGGGACCCAATGAGAGAGAGCACTACAGGCACATTCTTATTTTAACATCGTGTTTCCTTTTCTCCCACACATCTTAGAACTAAGGTAGTCCTTTAATTTTTCTTTTCATAGTGCTTCCCCATGGCCAACTTAAAATCTCCTTGTCATGACACAAGGCCTACACAACTGGCCCAAACACAGCTGTCTCACATCTCCTATCACTCTCTCCTCCTTTGCCCAAAGCACAGAGTCAGGTGAGAATTTCTAGAATATGGTGTGTTCTTCCAGTACCACGTTTTTTCTCTCTAACCAGGGTGCCCGTTCCCTTTCTTTTCAACTTCATGAGCTCCTATTAATCCTTCAGGAGAAAAACATTACCACATCAGACAGAGCAGACCACTTTTATTCCAGCACCAATTACATATAGTATCTGTTCATTATAGCACTTATCACATTGTAATTATCAGGGTTGGTTGGTTTTTTTTTTCTTTTTTTCTTTTTTTCTTTTCCTTCAGTAAGAACTTCGGAAAGATGGGGAAGGTAAGTCATTAATCTCTGTACATCCAAGGTCTAGCACAGTGCCTGGCATTCATTAAATGTCACTTCAAAATCGAATGTAATTTTATAAAGGCCCTCCTTCACTCTAAACATCTATCTCCGCGGCCATAAAGATCCTCATCTCACCAGCAAGGCTGGATGGGTGGGTATTTCCAAACTTACCAGCGTTGGAGAAATGACTGATTTTACAGCTTATGAAAATATGCTAATGTGGCTACAGTAGCTTAAATCTTAAAACAGTTGAATATCTTACCTTTCAATAAGGTAGTACTTTTTCTTTCAGCAATTTTGCGGATCTTAAAGTCCCAGGGGTCAGGAGATTCCAACTTCTTTCCAAACCAAAACCTTTATACTTGTTTCTTGCTCCTTTCTGTCCTGAGCCTTGACAAGCAGGCCAGTAAGCTCCTTGTGTCTAATGTCTACAGGAATAAATGGCGTCTGCTGGGGTCCACTCCATTCCCAATCCTTTGGGCATACGCAGGAGGACTGGAACACAACCACCAGAATCTAGATCAAAAGTGAACAAGAGGAGACCCACAGGCAAAGAAAGCACTGAACCCTTCCTTCTCTCCTGAAAGTACCATCCCACCTTCCCAGAGGGAAAAATGTATTATGCTCTTGCCCTTGAAAGAGATAATGAATTGTTTGATCTCTATGAACATAAATGGCAGTAACTTGATATTGCAGCCAGTTTTACATGAAAATTTTTCTATCACACAGAATGTAGTAGCTATTCCTAAGATGGTAAAGGCCAGGAATCAATAATATATGAAAACCTAGTATTTTGTTCATTCTGAAAAGTCTGTATTAATCCTATTTTTAAAAGAAACACA